CTACAAACCCCATAATTGCTGTCCAAAAAATGTAACACCCGTAGTTAAAAGCGTGAGAAAAAAATAATAGATGCAATGTATAATATAATTGAAAGAAAAATGAAAAGATAAAGGGAAGCGTAAAATGTAAAAATTAAAGTGTGAAAAGATATCGTTTATTACAATTTAGATGTTACTATAATTAATGTTTTTTCATGCTGTTGTTTATATTTTCTTGTGTGCGTATGATCTGTGTAGTCCAAATGGGAAATAAATATTGAACGTATCTTCGTGTAATTTCCATTAGTTAACAATATACCCATCATATTTAGTAGAGCAGATGAAAATTTTTATTTCTGTGATTTGTGAACGAGCCCTTCATTGGTTCTACCATTTTCGATAAGAAATACTAAAATTTGCCAAAAATTGAATACGAATACCATCCTTTGATTTCCGTCAAAAAAATTGAAATATATATTTATTAACAAAGTAATGGTTCGTCAACCAATAAAAACTGACCACATAAATTCATGATGAATTCGTGTAACATTTTTCTGTACTACAGCATTAGCATTGTGTAAGTAAATTTTTACAAGTAACGACTTAATTATGTTTTTAAGTCGATATAAAAGTAGTGTCTTTTAAAATTCGTTTTATAAAAAAATTTATTAAAATTTAGTTGTTGACATTTTAAAATATTTAGATTTTTTTTTTGTTAATTAATGAGTTGACTAACGAAACTTTAATTCATTACTATTACATCATATTTTTTTTTAATATTTTACTACGTAAAAATTTATGTTTGTAAAAAAAAAAAATATTTTGCTATTTTGTTTCTCTCTTTCTTTTCCTTTTAGAGATAATTTTTGGTATTGGAACTAGTAAGTAGCATGGTAATATTTCCACTTACTAAATTTGGAGAGTAGAGTAAAAAAAGAAAAAACCTCATAAGTATAGGACACCACAATGCAACCAAAAATTTTAAAGTAATGACTACATTGGTCTATCTCTTTATAGACAGGACTAGTCCATATCTCATCCTACATGAGACTTTCTTCTTTATTCATACTTGATTTCAACACCCCACCAATAAACACGCATTTTCCTATTGACGAGAAAAACAAGGTCTCATGCATCAATTTCTAGTTGATGCACACGTGCCTTCATGCTATCCATGTGCAAGTGCAACACCTAATTCTCCTCATCATTACACACCACCACGTGCTACTCCCTTTTCTGCAAGTGCTCTAATGCTAAATCTCCTTCACCTTTTTTCACACTGATTTTCTCATCAACAATGAAATAGTTTCTAATAACTTTGATAATATCCAAAATTTAGTTGGAACAATTAAGTTTCGGTTATGAAGTCTCTTGTCTTAACTACAGAGAAGTCATCCTAGGTCATTTGATTTCTTGGTGCACAATACCACATGTGTCTTCCTAGTAACATCTTGATAAGATCAATGTGTCTTCCTAGAGCTTAAGCAACAAGAATATTAACTTACAACTTCTTAAAATTTTTTAATATTTCTTCTATTGCTCATCATTTTATTTTCTCTTCAAGGCTATGAGTAGGGATGGAATTAGGTCAAGTCAGACCAGACTTTACTTTAAACAGACCTAACATGTAACATAATTATTAGGTTTGAACCTGACATGTTACCTGTTAACGGCTTTATTTTTAGCCTGGCCCGAAGCCTGTTACAAAAAATATATATATTAATATTAATGAAAATATAAATATTTTATTATCAAATTAATTTATATATTTTTCTACTTTTCATCTGTGTTATTGATAATTATTAAATATGTGTTATTGATAATTATTAAATAATTATAATAATTTTTATATAATTTTATAAATAATTTTTAAAATATTATTTGAGCACTAATTATAAATTTTTTTTATTAAATAAATTTATATTTATATTTTTTGAATTATTTTTAAAAATTATTAAATTATTAAAGATTTTAGTTTTTTCTAAAATCATATTTTATTTGTTTAAAGATATCTTATATTTAATAAATAAAATCATAATAAACACATAAAATTGATCACAAGAAATAACATTCAAACAATTTATTGAATCAGCTGAAAGAAAATTATTATATTTTAAAAAATAAATAAATTTAAATTCAATGTAATATATATATATATATATATATATATATATATATTGACAATAATAATAACTATTAAATTAAAAAAATAAAATAATTACAAAATATTTAATTTTATTTTTTTTATTAATTTGTTATTTTAAATTAACAAATACATGTAAAATTAACAACACTATAACATACTATAACATTAATATAATATAAAAAAATATTACTGATACAAAAAATTAAAATATATACTTATATATAAAATATAAATTAATAAATTATCTAATAATTTAATTTTTTATTTATGTAAATATTTACAAATTATTGAATTTCAAATGTATGTTAATAACTATAATTAAAGTATTAAAGATTTTAATTAATTTTTTATGATAATTATATTTTGTTTGTGTAAAGATATCTTATATTTGATAAATAAAATTATAGTAAACTTATAAAATTGATAACAAAAAATAATACTCACAAAATTTGTTGAATCAGCTAGAAAAATATATTATATTTAAAAAAGTAAATAAATATTTATTGTAAAAATTATAGATAAAAAATATTTATATTATCAAATTTAAGAATGCAGAAAAATAACATATGAACATAATAAGAATTAATAAAATTTATATTTAAATTAAAATAACTTATATTTCTAAACTTTTATCTTAATAAAAAAATATGTAATAAAACTTAATATATATATATATATATATATAATATGACAATAATAATAACTATTAAATTAAAAAAATAATTACAAAATATTTAATTTTATTAATTTTATTTATTTTTATTTTAAATTAATAAATATATGTAAAATTAACTACACTATAACATTAATATAATATAAAAAATATTACTGATACAATATATTAAATATATATATATATATATATTATAAATTGATAAATTAATTAATAATTTAATTTTTTATTTATATTTTTTTTGTAAATATTTATTAATTATTAAATTTTAAATATATATTAATAACTATATTTTTTAAGAAAAAATTTATTTACATTTATGTCAAATTCGTGAAAAATAATTCTTTAAAATTTGATTTATTTATATTTAGGTATGTTGCTGTGTACTATGCATCTGGTATGTAAAATTTTTTTATAGGTACTTTACTCAAAAAATTTATATTAATAAAAATAAAATACATATTAAGTTACAAAAAGTATATATTATTATATATAATTTATTTAAAATTATATTATTTATATTATTTACTATATAGTCCTATTATATACATATATATATATATATATATATATATTTATATTGTATATAGAATTTTTTATTTTATTTTTGTATCATTTTTTTAATAAAATTTTAGTTTCAAATAAAATATAATTCATATTTAAGGAATTTAATTTATTATAAAGAAAAATAATTAAACATAATATATTAATATAATAATTAAATAGTAATAATAATAAAATTAAAAATATAAAAAAAATATTAATATAATATTATTATTTTATTTTTTAATTTTATTTCATTCAGTTTTGATTATTTCTTGTTCCTGTTCAAAGTTTTAACCACTCTTTAACTTATTTAAATGTAATAAATATGATAATTAACAAAATTTGACTGTTGCACTACTTTCACATACATCTCATGCAACAGAATCCAGTCATTCATACAGCGGTTTAAAGTGCAGCATAAATTTAGGGGTTCTCACAGCATAGGATACTCAGATCAGAGAAGCCTTCTTGACAACGTCATGCATATTTTAAGTGATGCTTTGGTGTATTACATCTTCACTTAAGTGAGGTTGGACCAATATTAACAAGCAGAAACAGAATAACCAGAGAATATACACATATTATAATTGGCCTGCAGATTATTCAAAATGATAAGATACCATAACTTTTCCACAAATGAGACCAGCCGAGAGCATAAAAAAAATGAAGAAAATACACCGTTCTCATATTGTAACACAAACCAGAGCAATTATTCAGGCATTGCTTCATGATTTAAACAGAACCAAGGCTACTATGAATTCAGAATCAACGAGACAAAGCATTACAAGATCAATCAACTTATTTAACAGAAAATCTAGTTTAGACTGAGAGCATTAGACCTTAGTCAATCAACCTATTTAACAGAAAATTTGGTTTAAACTGAGAGCATTAGACCCTAGTCATACAACACATTATGTTCAATTAGTATAGAAAAAATATTCATGCAAATATGCTATTTTTGAAATAACATGAGACCATCTACACTACAGGATGGGAGAAAAAGATTTCCTTGCTGATGCAGAGTCACAAAACCCTCGAGGTTAACTAAAAAAAGAAGACAGAAAGGTTTCCATGACATGCACATGTGCAACATAATCTGCATGAATATTATATCTGTTAAGATGTGAGAAACTGAGAAAGCATATGATGAATTCCGTGTGTTTCAACTACACTACAGGCTGTAGATTTATATTAGCAACGGTAATCACAATCATAGCTACATAATTAGGAGCAAATATAAGGTTACCTAAAATATCTAAACACATTCTCATACCTTAGGTATCTAAGTTGGGCAGTTACATTTACTCCTTGATAAGAGTGAGAATGGCAATAGGAAATCTAGATGGGATTTTTCTTTCAATTTGCATGCATTTTCATTGGACCAGAGTGTAGTGACATGACAAGTTTGGTGGCCGGCTGGATGAATTCTAAGGCACCTTAGCCTATAGCCTTAAACGGCCTAGAGTAAGTTAAAAGAGGAAGGTTTTAATCAAGGTAGTCAAAATCGAGATCCTACTTAGGATCGAAAAGGAAAGAAAAACACGTAACTCGTGGAATTCTAGAATGGACCATAAGATCCTACCTAATGTATAAAACTATATTTAAACATATAAATGCACACAAAAAAGAAGATAAATAAGGAACAAATAGTCTTAAGTTCATAAAAGACAATCACAACTCAAACATTAATGACAATAAATATGTTCTCAAGTCAATTACACATAAAACTCAAAAAAGTACTAAAGTAAAAACAAACTAGTCAAAGTGTCCAAGATTGGTATTCCTTATTCTAACAAATCATTCAAGTTTTGATCATAATAATCATCTTCTATTTGATCTTCATTTTCTTCATCTCCAACTCTATCAAGGTCATCATCAAAAGTAAGAATCTCTCAATCATCTAAATTTACAGGATCATCATTAGCATCATTGGAATCATTTCCAACTTGACCCAAGTGTTCATTTGGATTCAAATCCAAGTCCAATAAGTCATCAACTTCTAAATCATCAGCATTGGATGAACTTTCATTACCCATAATCCATTCATCATCAGATAAAAGATCGTCAAGATTAAAGTCCATAGCTTTTCTAGATGTCTTTTTCTTGGCTAATTTTGAGTTAGCCATCACATAAACAACATCATTCATATTTTTTTGTTTGAAACGATTTCGTCTCTTTGTGTGGACCTAAAAAATATATAAATGCAATTGATTATTTGCTAAATAGGTAAAGAAAAAGAATGCAATTTCTCATAGTTTTAAAATTTTACCATCTCAAAAGCACTCCAATTACGCTCACATCTAGAGGAGCTACATGTCAAGCTCAATATACGAATAGCAAATCTTTGAAGCTCTAGATGTCCATCTCTATAAGATTCTCACCATTGTGCTGGAGTTTTGATATTAGTTTTAAGTGCATTTAGGGCTGCCTTGCCACCAAAAAACTTCTTTTTTGCCTTGAAATCTTCAAGTTAAGCATCAATTTTAGTCATTTCTTCATCATTTTCTACCATCCTTTCTATACAATCATATAATTCATGTTTAATTTCAAAATCTGCTTTAAAACCAGGATTGTAGTGTAAAAAAGGTTGAGGTAATAGGCTGCAGCATGTAATGGCCTATGGAGTTGATTGTCTCATCTTTTAATAATGACATTCTACAGAGGGAGATAATTAATATATGAAAAAATAAAATTAATTTTTAAACAAAAATAACTAAAATTTTTAATTAAATTTAATAATTTATTTACCTTCTTTTACTCTCATTGAAGGCCTTTGCTATCTTCATATTTAGCTCGCTCCATTTCCTCATAAAGGAATCCCATAGCTAGAATCTCATCTGAATCAACCAAATGAATAACTTTGTTTTATAGAATATGAGAACGCAACAGAAACACGACTACTTGCCCATTACCTTCTTGCTACAACGAGAATGTTCCTGCAGCACACATTAGCCTATAATCTCAAGCATGTTCAGTCCATTTACTGGCAAATATTCACATTTGAACCACAACATATCAATATACACATCTATATCACTAGCATAAATCAAAATACACATCAAAATCACAATATACACATATGTATAATTATCATAAAAGAATTACAAAACTCAAGGCATTACATGGATAACCTGAAGGAATGGAGTAAACTGCTTCCATGGGCCGAATTATGGTATAACAGCTCATTTTCAATCCAACATAGGAATGACTCCTTTCATAGCAGCTTATGAAAGAGAACCACCAACAATCACTAAGTATCAACTAGATTATACGAACTCTCCTTCCTTATGGGTGATGCTACAAGAGAGACATGACCCTCAGTCAGTTAAAAACTCATTTACTTAAAGCTCAACATCTTATATAAAACACATTCCATTGGAGTTTGTTGTAGGTGACTTGGTGATAGTGAAACTACAATCTTACACACAACATTCGGTGATACTTAGAAGAAATCAAAAGCTAGAACTTAAATACTTTAGTCTTTTTACCATAATTCAATGCATTGGTTCAATGGCCTACAAGTTACAATTGTCTACTTCAACTAAAATTCGCTCTCTCTTCCATGTGTTCTTGCTGAAGAAATGTAAAAGTGATCATAAGGAAGCTTATCTACCACTTCTTCTACTTATAAATGAGTTCGATCCTGTAGTTCAACTAAACAAGGTTCTGAATTCCAGCATTATCATGTGCGAAGATTAACATATACAATGGGGTGGACTAGATTCAACCAAGACCACGAGTATACAAATATTTTTATTAACTTGAGATTACCTAAACTTCAATTTTAAAGATAAGGTTATTTTTTATGGGAGAGAAAAAATTATTATACAAAAAAACGAATAAGAATGATGAGTTAGTTAAAAAAAGAGAAAATGGTGAAGAAAATGACATCATACGTAAAAGCGTATGCATAAAAAAAAAATCAATGAATCATTGAAAGAATTCTTATAATAAATAAAATTAATATATAATAAAGATAAATAAAAAATTTGGTAAAACTGGTCTCTTCTTTCTATAGAACTTTAAAAGATATTTCTGTTACTATTTTTTTCTCTCTATATTCCCTTAACTGATTAAGTGTTTGCATTATTTTTTCTATTTAAGAAATTACCGTATTATTATATTATAATACTATATAGAGATTTTATTTTATTTTTTACCTTTAATATTCTTATTGTTGTGACCTACTTAATTGAAAAAAAAAAATTGCCAACAGATTAAGAATGCATAACTTAGATTTGTCGACTCTTCGCTTAAGCTCTAAATATCGTGTTGAGAAAAAATATATAAAATAAATCCGTTTATCAAATATACGAAACTATATGTTTATAATCATAATTCAGAATAAATACATAATTTTTATCTAAACTCACGTTATAATCACAATTACCTTGTTTATCTACGTTAATGTCAAAATGTTTCAAGAAAGAAGATGATACAAGTCAAAAATGCGTCGTGGAGGGCGAATGTTAGGTTTGGAAGCTCTGGAAAGCATGTAACCAAAACCGAGGCAGAGGACCCAAATTCCCACATCCATCGCCCACTTCAGTACTTCCAAATCCATTTCCAAGTTGGTGCGCGCTTCTTCAACTTCCGCATTCGCATCAGCACTGTTATCACTAGGAAGCTCTGTTTCCTCCGGAATGTCCTCCAACTTGTTATTTCTCTTGACGACAACCCTTTCTCTTACTGGCTCCACTCCATCCAAGGCAACCAATAGCTCCACCTCCGAAATTGACAAGGAAATGGGAAGCTCCCACTTACAACACTCCAATCTCCAATTATTCCGATCGTGTTTTCTGATTACTCCCTTCAACAGTTTGGTTTCCCCAGCGTGGAGTTGGAAATTCATTGCTTGGGTTGTAGCCCGCACCCTTTGCTTGCTCCCGAAAATTACATGCCCTTGGGTTTTGGCTTGGCGAATCCGGGTGAGAGAAAGCGAATAAGGAGGAAGAGAGAGGATTAGAGCGAGGGAATCAGGTAAGGGACTTAGCTTGGATTCCCAAGTTGAAGTCCGAAAGCGTACGAAGAAAGCTGTGACAGTGAACGAGTTTGAGTGGGATTGATAATGGGTTGGGCAGCACATGCTGGCAGCGAAATGGTTAGAACTTATGATCAGAAGATGGAAACATTGGAAGGAAATTGTGTTCTTTATCTGTTTTGTGGTGTTCTGTTTGGAAGCGAAATGGCACCGAGTTTTTAAGAGCCCCGCCCATAGTTTTCTGCTGCTGTTGTAATCATTCCGCGTGCTTCAACTTGAGACCCAAAGCACGCGGATTTCACAGTGGGAAGCGGATTATGCTGAGTATATTGATAAACCACCTTTTTTTTCAATTATAATTGTTATCATTTATTTTAAATTTTATTATCAATTTAGTTCTATGTTTATTATTTTTACTACTTTTTAATTTTATATGAAAATGTTTAATTTTATCCTTATATAAATTATATGCAGAATTTTTATTATTTATTAAAATTGAAATGAAGATAAAATTATTTTTGACATTTAATATTAGTTTTTATTTTTGAAATTTATTTTAGTTTTTATACTTATGGTATGTTTGCCACGTCATTGGAGATGGGCGTATTTTTATGGAAAAAAAATACGGTAATTTGCAGCTTATGAGATTGCTTCTTTCGCAATTTTTCTTCATCCCAAACTGCAACTGATTCCTGTTTCTGTGGGTCATTTTTGCTTCGAAGACGGGATGGCATGTGACAACTACTTTTAGATTTATTTTCCTAAAAAAATAAAATATAAATAAAAAATATAAAATATTTGAATGGTACATACTACATAGCAATAGCCGGTGGTCGGGGCCTAAATTCTGATATCTCATCAAAACTTTGTTTTGATAATTTTTTATTAAATATTTGTAAAAGAATAAAGATAAAAACAATTAAATTTATCAAATAATTTAAATTATTTTTATGCATCTTATTTTTTTAAAACAAATTTTTTGTCTTATTAGATTTTAATTTATTATATAATTTTTATTTTGATATAACTATTATGAAATTAGCATTCATATTGATCTTAAATTTCGTACTTCTCACAAGAATATAGTTTTCACATAATCAAGAATCGGAAAAGCATTGACTTCTAAATCCATTATTTTTTTTATGTTACCTTCTAATGTTGTTAAGTCTTTGGTATTTTTTTTAACGTTTTCTTTTTCTTTTATCTCATCTTCAATGGTTGAGAGAAAGTTCTTTTTGCAATTATTGTGAGATCATTGGATACCATGAAAGTAATAGTCTGAATAATAGAGAATATTGTAATTTCTATTTGACAATTGTTCTGTTATTTCTTATTTATCTGAAGGAAGAGGGGGAGGTTTCCTTATAATTATATTTACAATTATACCTCAATGACTCTATATTTTATATTTAACTATCATTACATTAAATCGTTAATTAGAGTCATACTATAAGTTACATAGGTCATACTATAAAAGAGAAGAAGCTGCAAGTTAACACTTTCAGTTCAGAAAGCAAGTGTTTCATAATGTTGTTATTTGAGAAGAAGTTATGCATTAACACTAGGCACCAAAAATGATCACGTCAGAAGTGCGAGAAACTTAGAATTAAAAGTATCTTTTCTCTTTTTATTTTTTTTACTTTCCTACACTTATAGAGTTGAAAGAGGATTGAGGGCAAATTTCAAGTCTTAATCCTTGAGGAATTAGGCTTAGGACTTGGAATCATGATGATTTTCTATACCTTATCTTCTACTTTTTCTTTCTTTCTTTCTTTCTTTTATAATCATGTTCTAATTTGCTTTGGTTAGGGATTGATGGATCCAATCTGGACCTTGTAAATTGATTCTGGATTTGAATTCTAGGAGCTTGATTGTATTGAACATTTAATTCTTTATAATTCTTGGATTAACCATTCAATTGAATTGAACTTAGAGAGTTTTCATCAATGGAAGTTGAGTTAATTTATCAAATTTGAATTAAATATCAAGGTTATTGATATCTTAGGAATAACCATTCATGATCTTGTGATCTCTTAATTTCTAATACCTAATACAATGTTTGATTGATTTACACCTAAGAAATTAGGGTAGTTAATTGAACTTTGATTAACCTAGTGAAATTGATCATCAATCAATTAAGAACTTAGAGTTTATATCACATTCAATTTTGCAATTAACAAATTGGTGAAATCAACCCTAACTTTGTTTAATTAATCATCTTATTTCTTAAATCTTTTGCTCTATTGCTGTTACCTTTTATTTTATGCACTTTATTGCTTTAGTTCTTCAAATGTTCAAAACATCTCAAAATTCGATTAGCTCAAATAGTTATTGATCTTATAAATCAATCCATGTAAATGATACTCGAAACACATAATTCTAAATTTTATTACTTATTAGAACTACCTAGTATACTTGCTAGATAGGATTATAAGACCGTGACAACATGCACAACCTTGCACCTCCTGAAGCACCTATGTACTTATCTACCTATTTTACACATACATGGTCGTGCTTTTCCGCGAGTTTTCAAAAATAAAAAGGATAGGGGTGCAACAAGGGGTGCATAACATACCCTTGCATTCCCAAGTACTCCCAAACTCTAAAGATTTTTCTTCTCTTTCTCCTTAGTATTATTGGTTATTGTAGCTTAAGGTATGTTCTTTATTGCTTTTCATAGGAGGACTAGAAACATGCATGCTTGGAACCCTAGACTATTGATTTTTCTTGCATTTCTAGATTATTTAGATACTATGCAATAAGCACAATCGTGCTTCATGTGTAGCATGACCTTGCATAATTATTAGCATGATCATGCTTCACTTCCAGAAGTCATGTCTTTAACTCTGGGAGGGTACAATGTAAATAAGCACAAGAGTGCATAATTATTAGCATGATCGTGCTTCACTTCCAGAAACCATGTCTTTACCTTTATGTGTCCTATGTTATCCATTGATCCTAGATTTATTTATTCTTCAAGTTATGACACCAAAGAGATCCCATTCTACTTAGGGTCTTCCTCTAGAACAAATGCTTACCCCATTGTACTTAGGAATGATGTACATCGACATAAATTCCAAACTTTCCTACCCTTTGAGTTTAGGCCAACTAACACCTAGATGAGGAAACCTTGTAGTCTTGTGGGTTGTGGGAGGGGGTCGCATGCTTCATCACTGCTATTGGATGGGAGAAAGTCTAGTCAATGAGGTTCCCTGCAAACAAAGAGTTAGTCTTGGAGTTCCTTAGTTATGTAACACCTAAACACCAGGTGGAGGACCTAAAAGAGCTTCGAGTCCACTTCCAGCTTGGTGGAGACATGCAAGATATTTCATTAGCCTAGTTCAACATCTACTATTGCTTCGAGACAGTAAAATTTGTAGAGACACCAACTTATGGTGAGGCACTACTAGAAGTCTTGGTGATTGTTTAGAGGACATAATATAGTAGGAGATTAGAGGTATCAGAGACGTATATAGAGCACGTCTCGCAAAATTCACTACCATTCGCGACCCTTCACTAAGTGTCTAAGTGGTTGGTGCACTCCATCTTTACTCACAGCCAAGGTACTTACATTATCTTATGTTTATGCATTATCAATTAAAATTTCTTCTCTAAAATCATCTCTTTTAAATTATTAAATAAATGTAAAAAAATTATTCTAAATTTGAATCAAGATTTATTTCTATTAAATTATATATTTTATTAATCAATTAAAATATATTATCTTAAATATTTTTTATTTTATTATTTAATATAATTTATTTTATTAATAAAATTAAAATTAATTTATTTAATTAATGTAACAATTTATAATGTTATTTGATCGCGAGTGTTGCACTCGAACAAATTAATAAAAATCAAATTGCATAAGAATTATATAGTAAGAGGTGCAATCCGAGTCGTCTCCCAACGATGATAACGTTATACGATTATAAAATTAGAGGGGGTTTGATTTATAGAATAATACTAATTAGAATAAAAAGTTAACAAGAATTAAAAACTCTAATCCAAGAATTTAGAAAAACTACGACCACTCTATCACCGGATTCCAAGAAGATGCATCAACCAACAAATTAGTGATTAACATTAAATTCGAATGAAACCTCAATTCAAATTAAGCATCCACACGAGAACCCTCATGCATTCAATTAACACACAATTCGCTCAAAGTTCAGAAACCTCTAGAATCTAATCGATTTATGTTAATTTAATTCACCAATGCCAATAATCTTAGATCTCAAACTTGAAAATCTAATTCACACTCCTTCAAGAATTAATTGCATACATCAACCGAATAATATGTAATCAAACAACTACACAATTATTAATCCAAACGAAGAACTTCAATTCGAAATCATAATTAGCAAAAGGATAGAGAAGGAAGAGATGAAACCGGATTTGTTGTTGAATAAATTGCGAAACCGATTCTCAAGAGTGTCTCATCTCTTTTTCAATCCTTGGACTAGATGAAAGTCTAAGCCTCCATTAATGGAGGAAAACAAAAGGTAAAAACGGAAGAGAAAAAGGAGAAGAAAACAAAAACCCTAAAACATAAAACCTAATCTCTTAACGTCTCAACCAACCCTTTTACAGCTTGCTGCCCTAAATTTAAATACAGGCTCTTAAGGGTCAAAACGTAAAAACTAATTAATATTTATTCAATTACATTAATCCTCTACTCAATAGCTGTCTCTGGAATCCTTATTTGTTCAAGTTTAAATTTTGGAGGGAAAGTTATGCTTGTAATTGCTGCCCAGCATCTATGCTGAATCCGTGAAGATATTGTGTGTTATTTTTGGCCATGAAGATCTATTCAATTTGATTTCTGATATGAAGATAAATTGTAGCCCTGGATGTTAGCTTCAAAACGCAACTAGAATGGGCTTAAACGGACATCTGTGGACTGAGATATGGCCCAAATACTACACCAAGATTATAAACTGCGAGTACAACATTTTGACTTTTTTTAGGCCTAGTTTCAGCTTCTTATCATCAGAATTGGGTTCTGACATCTCATAAAAATTGTGCAGCTTTCTCTTAGCTTTCCTACAAATCAAGAATTACAATGAAATGAGTTCTACAACTCAAGATATGGTCCAGAAACCACAACAGTATCAGAATTTGTCAAATACTAGAAAAATTAAATAAAGTACAAATAAAATTCAAATATCATAAAATGATCAAA